AGATAGACCATACGAAACGAAAGGTAAATTTCGACAAACGACAAAGTTCGATCAATACTATTACTCGTCATACATTTCTCACTCTGGTTAGGTAATATAAAGTTATGTCACGTATTCGATATTCGCGATACAACGGTGTATCTAATTCTGCATCGTGCAATAATAGAAGTATGTACATGTTTTACCTAAAAATGTCACAAACTGTCCTTCTTTTGAATTTTTGCTAAAACCATGTTTATGACTTGGAATCATACGTTTAACATTGTGTTAATAAAGAAACAGGTAAACTTCATAAACATAAACCTGATAAACTTCTCATGTCTAGAAGATGATTTTTGGTAGCTGAACCACAGCCCAAATGTGCACGTGCACTCCCCACGCTGTCATGAATGCCCGCCGATGCGATCAGATCCGGATTACGAATAATTATGACAGAACAGTAACATCGTAAGCTATACAGCCTTGTAACACGGTCGTGTACGCCGAACTTGGAGTGTTGCACATTGCACACGTGTGTTCTTCATTTAATCAGGATGTGTACAGTTGCATCTATGCAGATGCATTTACGTGCACGCGAACGCACTTACGCATACGCATCGGAACGACGTTCGATGCATCTCACGATCTGTTGCGCGTACGCACTATACTACATTAATGCTATATGCACTTATGTGATCGATATAAATTCGAGATATCGTTATGGAAAATTGTGGAAATTTCTAAACGATGGGTTTTACGTGGATTTCAATTAGCAATGTTAACACATTGGTCGCCACGTCGCACAAAAATGAATGACAAGACTTTTCATTGTGGATACTAAACAAATTAATTTCGAAAGTGAAGCAGCAGTGAAGTGAAGTTTTGAAAAGGTTGAATTATCTAATCTTCAATAGTCTCGTGAATTAACTCCGCAGAAAGTTACACGAGTTTCAGTCTGGCAGCCAACGTGTTAAATAAAATTTTACATTCAATAAGAGTTTGAAAGCTACGAAATTATTTTATTTAATAAATGCGTCGCGTCATTCGAATATTGACCAAATAAATAGATAACAGAGTAAAAACGATAACTGTGTTCATTTAAACTTGGACGATTCTCGTGACAATAACCACAATCAGCATCAGTAATTGGTCGACCGCTGATAGAACGAAATATTCTTCGAAACTACGCGGAGCGTGCTGTTTAAGTCTGTGTACATTTTGAATAATCAGCTTATACGAGCGACGTGCCAGAGCCATGGCACGGTTATATGCGAAGTGTGTCCCGCGCCGATATCGACGTTAACGAATGCATTTTGCACGCTTAATAGTCGCGTTACGATTTATGGGTTTAATGCCATGTACCGATTAATCGGACCTGGCTTGTTGATTCCCCAAACTTTGTGTACTCCTGTATAAAGTATCGGTTTAAAGAGTACGTATAAGTAAAATATTAAAGTTGAAAAATCTTAAATGTAATAAAAAAAAAAAGTGGGAGTTACTTTTACCTCTTTACTCAGGGGCTGTAGCTATGTTTGATTGTAGCTACAGTACGGGTTTAGCGATCCCGAGGTACCCGAGCTATATGCATTTATTAATGTAAAGCAATGTAAATGTGGCACGGAAAAACGCACGTGCACTAACCAATATGCCAACCTTGAACAGTCCCATCGCATCGCACACGGATTCTGCTAATTGTTCTATAATTTTCACGCGACACAAGTTGCAGGTTTTTCTGGCAACTATTCGTATTACTAAACCCAGTGGAAGTTGGATTCGTGGAACACGAAATTCAGCCTCGAGGAGTGAAACGAAATGATTTCGTCCACGGCTCGTTACGCGCGACAAATGTTTTAAAGGGTATATCAAACGATATAGACATCCGAGAGAGAGAGAGAGAGAGAGAGAGAGAGAGAGAGAGAGAGAGAGAGCAAGACGGGGATAGAATTCTGCCGGAACACCCTGTATGCAATAATCCGTAAAGTGCACGTGTTGCCTTCGGCCGAGTTGTACGGTCCCATGGCATTCGTTGCTTGTGTTCCTCCGAGGAACTCTAAATTCGAGGAATTTTAGAGTTGCTGGCAGCCAGCGTGGGAACCGACGAAATTCAGAATTTAATAGACACCGTCCCTCTGGTTGGAAAGTTTTACTATGCGCGTATGCCTCGTTGCGGATTATTAATATTTTATGGAAATACTGGCAGTCTCGTGTTCCGCAACTCGTAGCTATTAGTCGACTTTGAATACGTGTCTTAATGGCTCTCAATTACGAAGAATCGGGTCGTTCTTCTATCCGAACTCGCGCAACGGGAAAAATGATCACTTGACGATCACTCGCGTACACGCTAAACGGTGCAGCGTCTCAGATTTTGTGCTTTTAGTATGTCGTAGTCTTCGTATAGTGGCGAACATAAATCTGGATAGAATTGGTGAATTTGGCAAGGTTAAAAATATTAAATACTAGTACACGTGTTAAATTATTTAATGTTCAATAGTCTTGAATAAAAATTGTAAGTTTGTAGAAATGTTCACGAATTTCAGTCTGGCAACCAACGTGTCAATGGTTTCGTTTTGGGACTACCTTTTGTTAAATTGATAGCGTCTTGAAGATAAAAACATCGAGGGTGTGTTTTTATTTATATGTTGGAAACAACTTCCAGATATTTCAACTCTCTTTTCCTGGATAAACAGAGAAATAACTGACGACTCGCTATCCCAAGACCCGAGAGGATAGGTAAACATTTCTTGGAAAACACAGTTTGATAAAATACGCTGGGAGCGGTAGAAAAGCGGAAGCAACGATAGGAGAAGCGGGAAAACGATCGTATCTTCACCGTTGCGAGCGAAAATAAATTTTCTTCGCGCGTGCAACGTTCTTACGATATAACGTTCTCACTAATCGTGTCATTTATCACGAGCTAAGATTTTAATTGCTATGGCGTCGAAACGGACCGCAATTCGCTTGAGAGTCAATAGTTTTTCATAAACGTGTACAAACAACTGCCACTCTATACGCAAACATTATGCTACATTTCAAACGCAATTCGAGTAAATTAATTTGTAACATAGATAGCCCGTTTGTTTCATCGCAGTACAGCGTCAGACTCACTTTCCGAAACGGCGCATTATTTCTTTCAATAAAACTTTGCTCGTCCATCCTTCATCTGGGATGGGAACTTTTTAAAACTAAACCATTAAATTTTCAATTTCCATTGGATAAGATATTCCTTCAGGAGGAAATTCTAAAATCAATTTTTGAGCCATAACGAATTTCTATAAATTCTTTTAGTCTTTAAAAGTAATCGTAAGTGGTATCGTATTAATTGGTTTTCATTGAACAACGCAATCACGAACCCGATGTAAATTAAGGATAGCGTTACACATTTAAAATTGCTTTTTAAAAATATTTTTCGTTTCCTCGGTCAAAATAAAGCATATTTCGTTAAGTAACACATAGGACCATCTTCTATTATTTACGGGAAAAAATATCTTGCAACTATGTACCATAAAATATGAAGTATCGTATATGTATTATTTATTGATAAAACGAAAGAAACTTTTGGACAACCCGATACAATATTTAATCAAATTTTCACGTACCTCTTCATAATCGCCTGTTGAGCCCTCCACTTTTCGGAATCACCTCGATCAAATTATGTTCCGCTGATAAACAGTTCTTTCCAAGCTACGTAACATAATTCATAAATGTTCGGTTCCCTTTAGTAAAATTTCGATATCGTATCACTCGATCCAGTCGACTGTGGTACTTGTTGATCGTCGATCCTTTCCAACGAGTTCCGTGGCACGTCCGGTCCTCGCACGTTTCTACACACCATTTTCCACTTTTCCTTCATCCTAGTCCCAGGTGCTGGTCCTTGATACACTGACAGTTCACCCTCAAGTGTTTCGTTGAACTCGACATCGTGGAATCCCATGTAAACGAACGACTCATCTTCGCAATCGTCCACACGATGTCACGGGTTGAATAGTTGATCGATTCCCGTACCGACGAAAGATAATTTGGAATATGTATCATATGATATTCCAGGCTAACGCAAATGCAATATTGTATGCATTACAATGCGTTTAAATTCACACACGTATACATATAATTTATACTCCAGTCAAAGGTGGACGTCGATGTTAGAAAAAGAAATTCTTTCAGTTACGCCCCTTGGACAATAACGATAAACGAAATTTCTATATTTCTAAGGGATTCCGTAGAAGTGAAAAGGTCAATCTACTGGGAAGCTATATCGTTTAATAATGGAAATAGAGTATTTGTACTCTTAGCGATACCATACGACTATAAATCTTAGCATTAGTAGTTCGGATTGTTAACTATTGCTAGTTAACACCCGACAAAATGGTATTTTCGATTGTCTAGTCGTTTACATGGAGGTATTTCTATTCGATTTGTATTCAAAGATGTAGTAATAAATAGCTTCTTAGAGCTATTTATATAAAACCAATTGGTTTTCTTACTGACGGAATCTCCGAGAAAAGGGGTCGAAAACGAGGAAAAATGTATGATCAAACGGTTCTGGATATGAATTTCGTGCGACCGTAGTTTTTAGAGTAACGCCATCTATCGAAGGGTTAGGAAACTTCCAAAACATTTTAATGATCAATATCTCTTACAAAGAGAAATTCTCGAGCCCGGATCTTCTGACTTTAATAATATTTTTTTGGCGGAAATTCACTTCGAAGGGGTGAAATCAGCCCTTAAAGTTTATAAGATATAACGTTGTAACGGTACGAGATAGAGTTCGAATGCAAATAGAAAATAGTGCAATTGAAAATTTGTTCGACTCGTCGCTAATAAATAAAAAAAAGTTGTTTGGAAAAGTAATTAAAAGGCAATATAAAGCTGTAGGTAATCGTGGTTAATATTAAAATTGGTTAACTATACTAAACTATAAAAGAATAAGTACAAGTTTAATGTTCCGAAGTATAATTTTATTCGTATGCAAACAAAAATGATCCATTGGGATATGTTGTTGGTATCATTTCAAGTACAACATACACGCTTACACGTTTATATAATTTCATTGACGTCCATTACATGATAAAAAATTGTTGTTACACATCATTGCAGTAGGTAGTATTGAGTTTTACATTCCATCCTCAAATCTTGAAGCAAGCACGTCCTTATATACAAAATATTTCTCGCGATAACCGCGGGATCTGTTACAAACACTAGATATATTCGAAGAGATATGAGTATGTAAACTTCACGTAAAATTATTCATGATTTGTTGAAACGAATACTTGAGATTTAACCATTATCGATAGCCTAAGTGCCCGCACGAATATTCGCAACGCGTGAGACATTCGTGTAAAAAATTTTCCGACAGTTTCCTCGCGACATTGGTACCGCTAGCTATAGTTTCACATCGTCGCCGATGTTGCACGTTTCACAAAATAAATACTGGGTTTCGATTCTTTACAAAATATATATTACAATATTGCACTTAAGGTAAATGTACACCATTAAAACGCGTAAAAAAATATACAATGAGTTCCTCTATCGAGAGGCACTAACGACAAGGAACACAGAAGTGTCACGTATAGATTATGCATGACTGCTCGTTCGTACACATATGTCCAATTTTGCACTTAGAATATCCGGTTAATCACTTATTACACATTCAGTATTTCAACACTAAAACTACCAAGCCGATCAGTTCGAGCCAAGTACTTGAAATTTCTTTCGAAAGACACTCAATCGTTAACACTATGTTTACGAAGCACCGTTCATTTCGACTCATTCCTATTTTTACACGATTTTACAGAAACTGTTTAAACTTTTCGCCAACCACATATACTGACTCTTATCCGAATACAAAGAGACAAACATATATCTAAATTCATTTTTGTCTAAGCCTTGTTAATCAATTTTAGTAAATCGACTTCACTTATTCAAGTGTTACTTCAGGAATAGAAATCTCCGTAAATCTAGCGTTAACAATTCTTTTCAATTATTTCTTCTTCTAATAATCGTAATACATATTTAACGTTGTTGATAAATTAGTTTGCTCCTCCCCCTCTAATTACAAAGATATAGTTATACGTAGAGTAGGAATGCGTTGAAACCGGTAGTTTTAGTGTTAATTCCAATCTCTGCTACATAAGAAAATGCGGTATAAGATACGTGTAGGTATAACGACAATGATACTCTAAAGTACACTGAAAACCATTTAAATACGTTTTCGATAGGACACGATTTTTCTCTATCGATTTTACTCGATGTAAAACACAAGTTGCGTCTAACTTTCAGTTTCTATAGCAAAACTATTCCCATTCGAATCGTAGACTTTTAAAGGACGATCTGATCGTTTGCGAAACAAGCTGAATTGTTGCTACGTCGATAAAAAATACAAATGTAATTCGTCACTTTCTTGTTCATTTACTTTCGATACAATTAAGATAGATTTAATACGTGAAACATTACAGATATGGTTCTTCGTGAAGGTATCGTATTTACACAGTATTTGTGGATACGCCTACATGTATCTCCAATATACGTATTTCATACAAGCTCGCGCAACACATTTACAGACAAAGAACACATGCGTACAATTTGTATTTATGCCAATTATTCTTACGATTACAATCAGATTACAGCAAGTGTACTAAATTAGTAAGGCGAAAAACTGACGAGATTCTAAGAAAAATACGATTTGACACTTACGTTGAACTATCGTAGTAACCGAAGGAACACACCGTACAACGAGATGTACATTCACGGGGATACACATTGAATCCTTTCGTCCATTGTCGATACAACCATTTAACGGTTGGCACATTGTCATTAGATTTTTATAGATGTAAAAATTACGCAAGCCCGTATCAAGTATATACTTAGGACTAAGGGCGATTATAGAAATACTGCGAATATGTTCATAATATAAGAATAGAATGAATATATTCCTATTATTAGTACGTAATTATAGTTACAGAGATGTTTTATACGGTATCATTAATGTAATTACGGTATGAGATTCAGAACAATTACATTGTATTGGTAATTACGAATGAAATAGAATGTTCGATGAACCCTTCGACTAGGGCATATGTATCGGCCTTCGAAAATTAAACTCAATGAAATGTTTAAATTCGTTAAATCAATTTATAAGAAATATCACTTTATAGAGAATGACAAGGCGAAACTTTGTTATATTTACAATTAATTCATTCGACCATCCGTTACTGTTTATGAATATTTAATTATAAATGAATAATTGTCGGCTAACGATAATTTTCATTTTCCCCGTTGCCAATGTAATTGAATTTCAGGAAAAATGACTTCTAAATTTTTAATTTTTATTTTTCAAACTAAACGTCGTATGAATAAACTATAAATATAAAAAAGTTTCGTCTTATCGTCCTCTGTAAAGTGATATATTTTAAAAATTCGACTGTTCTAGTGTTACCTCCCCTTACAATTTCCAGCAAAAATAGGCCCACAGTCAAAGGGTTAGTAATAGAAAACTTACGCGATAACCACGTAAAATGAACTTGAATCTTTTAAAAGAAATTAATTAAACGATCTTCGTGTTTGAGATTCGTAAGTCGTATTTCCTTATTTATATAAGATAAACAATTCATGATAATTAAGAAATCAATATTATTACGTTTACGTATTCGCACTGATAATCATCAGCATATTTACAATGGCATCTATTAATGGTAGATACCTACTAAATTTTATTAAGTAGTCGATTAATTAATTAGTCCGAATAGTGGATGGAATGAGAATATTGTCGATTAAAAATTAGGATATCACGGATTACCACGAGGTTCCGGGTACGTGTTTATGTTTCCACTATTCTTTTTAAAGTGAAGCATTTAAATGATGTACATCGTAAATGTAGTTTGAATGCACGTTAATCGTAAAATATAGTAGTCATATGTGCGCAACGTTACATTTAATTACATATGCTTAGAATCTTCTCTTATAATTGTTCACTTCCATGTTCTGCTCCAAAACAAACAAAAACACAATCCTGTACAGATTGTATAATCTTTACAACATTTTCAATACTTATTGCCTTGCTTATGCTTCGCAAGATATTTATTTAGACGTACTTGTATATTTTTAGATAATCACTGTGCATAGCTTATAAGATCTGAATCAACAAGCCATGCTATAGGAAAAGTTATTGCGATGTGTTTATATCCTGAAGTACCTATACACTCATATTGGAAAATTCGTTTAATACTAGGATTGCATATATTGTACTTACAATATACTCGTAAATATACTATTATAACATCGTGAAAGTTTCAAAAACAAAAATTACTAAAAATAAAAATTGTTTGTTTAACGATACTTGCTAAATAAAACACTATGTAACAAGCATATACGATAAACTTACGATAACTAAATTATAACAAAATATGCATTTGTAATCTATTTGGAGTAAAGCACGATAATTAGAGAGATTGTAAATTCTTAAATGTGGAATATATTCTATTTTTATTATAAAGGCCACTGAAAAGATAGGATCTTGAGATTTTGCACACATATAACTGAATGTTTTCAGATCGAAATTTTAATAAATACAATGCAGTATAATATCATATTAGTACCAAGTAACGAGTGAAAAGATTTGAAGCTATTAAAAATTACTTGGATCAACATTGTGAAATGTTATTTACTCTACTTTCGGTGAGTATAGTGAGATATATCATTAATATTTATTTTCATATTCATGATCGAAAAGCGATTAATGCAAATGACATGAACAATTGAGAATGATATGATAGACGAAATATCTATCATTATACTATTTAACTTTGCAACCGAAGTTTTAAAGTGTAGCATATAGGCAGAGTGAGTCTTGATATCATTTTATGTTATTTGGATACGATATTTAAAGAGATTCCTTAATGCATTACATAACTTTTATTATTCGAAATTGATCTTACTTTTTAGTTGTTCTTAGTTTATTTTATTATTAATACAAAAGTATAGGAAAGTTGAATCTTTTTCATTTCGGCATATCATAAATGTTTTATGTCGAATACCATTAAAGCTTGGTAAATGTATTTGATAACATTACACATTAAATAATGTACGCTCAATTCTCTTTTTATACGATTCCGATTAATCACGGAACATAATTTAAAACGTATCTACCGTATAAAAAAAAATTGAGAGTAAATTAATTAGCGATCTCTTTTCCAAATTATATTTGCACTAGATACCTCTACTTCTTAAAGCAGACATCAGTTTAAATACATCGTTATCCATCCGAGAGACACACATTGTGGCACATCATTTTACTACCTGCATTATATTCATTAACGTGTTTGCCACTGGTAAATACACTCACTATAAGTGTGTGTTCCATTTTTTTTTATACAGAATTTTCCTGGTTGGTAGTGGCATTACATTATGCATATTACATTTAATCTGGATATGACAAATGATATATCTGAGCATATGCATGAGTATTCTTTACAAATATTTCATACTTCATCAAAAGTCCAATTAATCTATTGAAGATATTTTAAAGTATATTAAAGTTACAATGAAATAATGTAGACTATAATATACTCTTATACACGTATTATTATACATGTATATCAAATGTAAGCTATAGATGACATACAAACATTTTAATTTAACTTCATAAGGAGAGTACCTCCTTTTAGTGAGTGAGCACTCAGCAAACAAAGAAATAAAATTACAAAGAAAAAAAAATTAAAATACATGTCAATTTTATATTCATCAATAATAAAAAAGGCATTATCTTTGAGATCTCAACTGTTTCCACAGTTTCCTACAAATAAAAGTGATAATGCCTATTAAGCTGATTGTGAGTAAAACAGATCATATTTTTAAAATAATATAACTCCAAGATAAAAATATTTCTTTACCAACAGATCATAAGTAATGATAAAAATAGTCTAATAAATAGAAATTTTAAATTAAATCAATAATTATGTCTTTTTTTGTTAATATCATGAATATACTTAAATTAAAAATTAGACATACATTCTAGTGCCTTTAGTTGAAAATTATATTAGTGTGGATGTTTCTGTGTGCGCGCGCGTGCATATACATACATACGTATATCAAATTTATGTCAAATTTTATACTTCAAAATGTTACTTTTAGTCTTTCTCATTCAATAGCAGAATATCATTGCATGTCTCATTTATTATACGATCAACTTGTTGAAATATACTTGTGTAGTTTTGTGGGAAGCTCTTGCCTTTATATATCTTAAATGTACTAAACAGATATCACATCTTTCAGCATTGTAATTTCAGATATTATACAATGTAATAGAAGGTATAAATTTTGAAAATTTAATTAAGTGAGACACTAAAACTTAATAATATTAGTTGCTAGCAAATTTTCATTAGGAAAGACTTTCACTGTTGATTTGCAGTAATTAGAGAGAATATAATGAATGATGCTGTAGAATTATAAAATTCATTCAATATTTCGTTTTTTGAAACCTATACAAATGATATTTAAGTTTCCAGCATAGAAAATATTTTTTATTGATTACAGTAACAAAAATATTATTTGAGATTCATACTTTTAAATCTGACTATCTTTCTAGATTCTTCATTATAATTCACAAAATTACAATTAAGAAAATTGAACTAACATTTGTTGGAACGTTGTCGTTCCGACAGTAGTAGACATTTGACTAATACTGTTGAATAAAGCTTCTGCCTGCAAGTTTTCTGGCAACCTAGTAAGAAATTGTGCTCCATGTACAAAATCCATTTTTAATAGTTCTTCTTGATATAAGTGTAACACACCAAGTGCTGTTCTAAAAAGGAACTCATCTCCATCTCTGAGAAAAACATCCCAGATTCTACATGCAACATCCAGAGGCATTGCTTTGGCATATATAGTATACAACCAATCTAATAAATATAAATCTGGACTAAGACCAGCTACTGTAAAATGGAAAAAGACTTTTGGCAGCTTATGTGCAAGTGCATTAGAATATACTCTGTAGTAACTATCCATTTGTTTTTGGTCTAATGTAAAAGCAGCCCTGTGACAAGGATGATTTAATAAATTGGCAAAGCAAATAAAGGCATCTGGAGGTTCCATGTTCAATGATAATATTGCACCTACAAAACTCATACCTTGTACGTAACCTACATCAGGCCTATAAACTGCATAGGCTGCCAATATACCTTGAAGACTATTGGATAGTGGTCCACCTTCTTGAAAGACACATAAGGTAGGAAAGGTACGAGATACATCTAATTTGATTGCTGCTAATGTGTCGCTTACAGGGCATGACAATGCTTTGTCCAAACATATATTGTAAAGATGTGTTGTTATATTTAAATTATTTGGAATTGCTAATTTCCACACTTTGCCACGAATACTGGGTGGAAGACCACGCCACCATAACTCACGTACTTTTTTTGTATTTTTAATGTTTTCAAATTTAGGAAGAACATGTTCATTCCAAGTATGAGAATCTTCTGCTAATCTTTCTTCTTCTTTGAGTTGCAGTTCTCTTTGCTGTTTACGTTCTTTCTCTTCTCGTAATTCTCGCTTTCTCGCTGCTTCCAGAATAGCATTATATTGTTTGCGATGTCGTTCCTCTTCTATTGCATTCTTTGCTGGTAGATTCGCCGGTCTTGGTTGTTGAATTAAAGCTAAACTCCCTCCTACCTTATCTACATTTCTCGATGGACTGCTTGTAGGTGTAGATTGTTGAGAATCTTTATTCCTCCATAAAAATACATTTTTTGAAAAAATTGTATTCAATCCCCAACGCTTGGACTTCTCGGCTTTTTCTGCAACTTGTTCATCGGAACTTAAAAAACTTCCATTTGGAGAAACTTCGCTGAGAGAAGACACAGTACTGCTGCAAGAGCGTGGTAAACTGTTTCTTGGACTACTGCTTGCACTACCACTTTCTAATCTGATATATTTGTCCTCTTCGATTTTAGGAATCTCATTTATGGATTCTTCTTTATGATCGCAAGGAGAATTCAGATATTGAGATTTACAATCAAGTTGTGTATCAGTAGACACATTTATTTCTTCCAAAGAATACAGTTGCTTTGTAGTAGGATTATAAGCTATAGACATACTCTCCAATGCATGATTTAAACTAGTTCCAGCAACTCCTACGGAAACTATATTTCCAGCATCATACCATTTATTCTCTCTTATATGGACGCATAATGCCTTGGTTTTTACAGCAGGCATAGAAGCCACATCGCATGCCAAAGCCTCATTAATATTCACACTATTACAGGATATCGAATCTCCATTCAACGACACTAACTGTTGTTTGCCAATTTTCGGTACAATATTGTTTGCAATGTAACAATTAGAATCTCGTCCGGATACTTTTAGCACCTGATAATTATTAGTCATATTTCCATAACGAGATACAATGCAAGGAGATACATTCTGCGATGAAACAGAATTATTATTTCCGTTTAACTGTTGAGATACAGGACTCTTCATGATTGGTGTCCTTTTCCTAACCTTGTTAACGCATTAAATACTTCTTTAGCGAAGACAAACCAATTGCGGATCACTTGCTCGCATATAATATTCGTAAACCTGTATTTATGCATCTTTTCTCATCATTTTTTGACGCTATAAGTGTACACCGTGGTCATTTTTATTAACTGTACCAACGATATAATAAAACAACTGCACATCACATTTGCTAAGTTTTAGCATAATTATCACAACATAAAAACTCGTTGTGGTTGTAAAATAGTTGTAAATGACAATCACCTCGTGTATTGTGTTTTATCACGAGTTATGAACGAGAATAAATTCAATAATCACCTTTTTTAATCAAATTTACTAGTCATAATGCAGAAATATATGGAGTTTTTGTAGTCATAAATATCTCTCGTTACATTCGTTCCGTTGAGATCGAAGAACAACAATTACGCTTTATATAAACAAACACTAATAAACATTTACGTAAAGGGATACAGTTTTATCGATAAATATTTAACATAACGATATTGTGCGATATCGCAAGAGAAACTTCTGACACTGATTCGAAACTGACAGGTGTATACACATGCACAGCAAATGACATATCGTATAAAGTTTTTCCCTTTTCTGTTTAAAAATGCACTAAAAACGTCGAATGAACTTTCAGTTCATGCTCTAGTTAGAACAAAAGTATTCTAATTGTTGGCTGTATAATAAACTGTGAAGAATAAAAAACTTTTCTCGTGTGCCGTCACAAATCTTTGCCACGGTAAGGAAATCACGTGATCACTTTACCATACCTTTACCATTGATAACTTCAAATTTTTAATTTAATACTATTTGATATCGTCATTGAGAATATCATAGTCTTTACGTGTATTCAAGATACAAGTGTAATTTAAAATATAAACTACATATATAAACGACAAAATGGTGTAACTTACGATATTATAAATATGAAAATTTATCGTAGAATAATTAAAATGTAAATGATGTAAAAGTAATAAATAAATATACATATACTATTTGCGTACAAGATAGAATTTGTATTAAATTTTCAAGATGACTTCTAACTACTAAAACTTATCTCATTTTAGTGATTGGATATTTGTTATCTGTAGATAATTTGATATCTATTAACTTTAGTTAGAGGATACAAAAACCGAATCGTCCAGAGTTGTGGCTTATATAAACAATTATATTGTTAGTTTCTTTTACAACAATTTTCTAATAATAATTCTACTATTGATATTATGATCGTTTATCGAATCTTTCATTTCTCGACTGATTGTGTATAACGACTCGATGGTTCTATTTATAATATTCTATACTTTATACTAAAAGTCCCTAGGTAGCTTATGTCAAAACAGCTGATTGCAGAAGTTGATGAAAACGAAAATTCGTTGAGAAGCTACTTGAAAGCAGGTTAAAAAAGGTTAAATATCAGTCGTGTTGTGTCATTGTCTAATTTCAATAAACGGTTGTGACTATTTCAATCAAATATAATTGTTAAGTGAAAATTCTTCAACATAACAGATGTTTATTGTAAGAAATGTCACAAATTGATATTCAGAATTTATTTGATAAAAGCAGGTAAAGTAATCATCTATAAACAATAAATTTGGATAATGTTTTATCAATAATGGAATTGTACTATCATCTTTCTAATAATAAATGGTGCTACCAATATGTAGCAATGAATGTAATCAACTTTATGAAATAATGGGTCTTGTATTTTTAACATATGGATGCTATAAAACATTATTTAAAAAGTAATGTCTCTAAAGTAAAAAAATTGTACTACAGCCTTGCAAGAATATTTTAATTAGTATTGATATGTAATGTTATGTTGGATTGTAAAATATAGATAGAATCTGTTATCTATACAACATGTATTGCGCAAGTCTAGTTAAATATATATTTTTAATCTATATGTTACCTATTTCACAATAGGACAGATTTAAGGAAAACATTTGGTATCAATGTATTGGTAACAGCATTAATTATTAGAAATTAACACGTTATATTTTTTAATATGAAATATATTGGATGCGATACATTTCTGAGTGTTCTAGTCTAAGAAATAATTGTCACTCTTATTTTTTAAGATAAGATTATTATAAATCTTTTGTCTTAAAAACAAAACAGACAAACCCAAGCATTTCTTTTCACTCATAACGATCTGACCTGTTCGATTTTAAATTTTAAATAAATTAAATTAATTGTTTGTTTGTTACTAAGGTGCTTAAGTTATAATTATTTTGTACGTCAGAAAATTCAGGAATATACACCCTCTAATATATTTTAGAACCATTACAACCATCAAGGTCGTCATTGGTATAAACAATTACCATCATTTTTATAATTTTAATATATTCTTATATTGTTACTGAAATTAAATTATACCAATTCAAATATTATTAATTGTTGTTTAAAATGGTATTTAAATAAATGTAATGATATTTTATCTGATCGCATTATTCAGGTTTCCCAGTGGTTGGTGCCTTCTACCTATATTTTTATATACCCCAGTGGGTCTCTTACTTGTATTGCTACGACTTTTAACTGCTCTGCAACTGTGGCTCCTTGCATCGCTCTTACCTGATTGCAATACTCTTCGAATATTCTTGAATCATGGATTTAGTTTTGCTTTTGGTATTATGGTAAAAATTCCTAAAGACGAAGTTATAGACAAACAAACAAGAATTATAATTGCCAATAATGTCTCAGTCCTGGATCATTTTGCATTATATAAAGCTACACAAGCACTATCCCCTAGCGTATGGGAACTACCTAATGTTCTTAGCAATGCATTAGGTCTACAAATGATGGATATGAGTAGCAAGGAAGCTCTAATAACAAATATTAAACAGTTTCTTTCTACTTCAAAATGTAATATTGCGCTACAACCTGAATTTGGGACAACTAATAGCCGTGTAGCCTTGTTAAAATTCAACTCCTGGCCATTTATAATTGAATCATCTGTTCAGCCAGTTATAATTAAAACATGGAGACCAGAATTCATACCTATTCGTGTTACCTCGTTAGCATCCACATGGTGGGCTGATGTCTTCTGGTTTATGTTTGTTCCTTACACAGTTTTCACATTTAAGTACCTGAAAATAAAAAAAAATGTAGATTGTGAAGTACTGGTACGTGAAGTAGAAAAAGATATAGCGACTAGTCTTGGACTTAAAACAAGTTGTCATACTGTATCAGATAAAGCAGAATTTGAAAAACGTTGCATCATGGAAAAAACGCAGAACAGAAGACTTAATAGAAGAAGTTCTCTAAATTCACAAGTCATACATAATATTGAAATACAAAGAATGGTACGACAAGTCAATGAAGTGCTTCCATTGGTCCCTCAAAATGTGATTCTTAGAGATCTGTGTATGTAAATAAATAATTATTAGTTTACAAACTATAATTTTTATTTTGAATACTAAAGACAATAATAATTTGTTTTAGTGAAAACACGCAATGTTGACATTACAATTGCCAATATTCTGGATGGCATAGTTACTTATACCCCAGAATCAACACAAACGATTGTTACACCATCAGCATCATATAATCAATTACAAACAAGCTCTGTCAAGGATAATAGTAATCTAGGATCTTCTTCCTTCCAGGAAAGAAAGGCTAAAATGATCAAAGAAGCTAGGGAAAGGTATATTCAAAAGCATGGTCTTAAAAATTGCTGACATTCTTACTGCAGTTTTATTGTGATTATTATATCTTCATTTAAAACAAATATGTAATGTTTTGCCGTATGTGTATTTACTATTACATAATATAAATATAATTTTATTTCTAAAATACAACTGTATATTCTACACAATTACCTATCCTTTCTACATATATATTTTATAACAATATTATAAATAGCACATTTTGGAAGACTGCGTTTTCAATAACTTGATATGTTTCTAACTAATACTACTAACCATTGTATAAATAAAGTATAATAAATTACAATTAATCTAAGCTTTATTTATATGTCAATCATGCAAAAAGATAGATACGTAATACTATATTAAGAATTTTCTGTTATACTAGTTAAATTATCATGTACAATACAAAAATATAATGAACTGCATAAGATAAATAAGATATAAAAATGCATTACATTTATATTCTGTTATTTATGCATTGTATTATTTGGAGTATTATTATAATTTATAAACTATAAAGTATTGGAAGACATTCATTTTCATAAATCGTAGATTGTACAGAAACAATGCATTATTATTATTTAGTTATTCTAAATCATTACATATAATAACACATTACAAAAATATTTCCATATAAATTGTTGTACTACAAAAATACATTACTCTTAGGCATACTTAAATGTTTTACTAAGTTGTTGGTAAAGTAAACAGGAATATACTATAAGATAATGTTGTATCAGGTGGTTTAACTTTTCTTTATAGCAAAGTTTTTATCAGTAAGTATTAGTATTTCCAATACATACATATTTTATATCAATAAAGTCATCAACACCATGTCTAGATCCTTCTCTTCCTATACCTGATTCTTTTACCCCTCCAAAAGCAGCCTCTGCAGTAGAAATCAATCCTTCGTTCACACCAACCATTCCAATTTCTAATTTTTTTGCTACTCTAAATATTTGTGACACATTTGACGAATAGAAATATCCAGCTAAACCAACTGGAGTGTCATTAGCTTTATGTATAACCTCATCTTCGCTATCAAATTTATTAATAACAGCTACTGGACCAAAAATTTCTTTGTTATATATTTCCATTTCTTTGGATACATTTGTTAGAAGTGTAGGAGCATAAAATAGCGGCCCTAACTCCGGTAATGGTGTAGCACCACAGTGCACTTTTGCTCCTTTCTTCATTGCATCGGTAACTAATCCATGGACAATGTTTAACTGATTTTCTTTAGTAAGAGGTCCATGTGTGATTCCTTTCTTACTACCATCACCCATTTTAATTTCGCTTTTTATTTTTGCCAAAAACATTTCAACAAACTTATCAAATACACTAGCTTGAACAAAGAATCTATTAGCAGAAACACATGTTTGGCCAGTATTTCGGAATTTACTTGCCATGGCACCTGTTACAGCCAAGTCTAAATTTGCAGAATCAAAAACTATAAATGGTGCATTACCTCCTAATTCAAGACTAAGTCGCTTCATTGTCGAAGCACACTGTCGATATAAAATTTTTCCTACAGGTGTTGAACCAGTAAATGAGAGAACTCGTACTATAGGATTTTCACATAATTCTTTACCAACAGCAGGAGAATTTTGTTGACTTGTTGTAAGCACATTAAAAATTCCAGGAGGAAAGCCTGCCTGTTCTGCAAGATCAGCTAAGGCTAAAGCCGTGAGTGGAGTGTCTTCGGATGGTTTCACGACACATGTGCACCCAACAGAAAGGGCAGCACCTGCTTTGCGGGTAATCATAGCATGTGGAAAATTCCATGGTGTAATTAAAGCAGCTACTCCCACTGGTTGTCTCATTAAAAACATATGTCTATTGGGATCTCCTCCTTGCAATACTTCTCCATCAACTCTTCTGGCTTCTTCTGAGAACCACTCAATAAATGAATTTCCATATCTAATTTCTGCTCTAGATTCAGCAAGAGATTTTCCATTTTCTTTAGTCAAAATTTGTGCCAAGTCTTCTGTATGTTTCACCATTAGATCATACCAATCTCTGAGTAAAACACTTCGTTCCTTTGCACTTGTCGTACGATAAGATTCAAAAGCTTTAGATGCTGCATTAATAGCTAATCGTGTGTCCTCAACATCCATATCAGGTAGATCATTAATAACAGATTTATCAACTGGGTTGTGAACAGAAAATGTTACCTTCTTGTTTGCTTCTATCCATTTTCCATCTACATATGCTGTATTTCTTAAAAGATGCATTGATCGACTTAATATTGAAGCATGGTAAGAAATGCCTCTTTGTAATGTAGAAACACTGTGAAGCATTGTGATTGTAAATAAACGACAGACAATCTGTAACATTAAAATCTATATAATAAATTGTTAAATGTACAAGAGACAAAAGCAGTGCATATAAATTATTTATTAATATAAAAACAGTGATTAAAGATCGACGTTAATTAAAACACATGAAACTTTATCACTTAAATAATTTGTAATTTATAAATAAATGTATATATCAGTGATGTACTGTCACTCTGACACTTGCCTTTGCATAAGAAAATATCGAATAACGAAGATTTGTATTTTCAATCGGAGACGACGTTCGCTTATAAACGACTATATCGAAGTGGTGTTATCAATTCATGTTATCAATTTCATCAACAAATTGACCTTATGTAACATACTGCTGATTTACGCAGATTAAGGGTCTTATACCTACGTCTGTCCAGTGTATTCTTTGTTTTACAGTAGTGTGCGTTGCCGGCGCGCCGGCGTCTTACAGTCAATAAAATTGTTATCAGACTAAACTGTTTATTTCTCTCTCATATTGGAAAAAACAAGAAGTACATAAATATTTATACGTTATGAGTACAAATACGAAGAGGACTATATACGTGGGTACGCAGTAATTTGTTGCAATATGTTTATTAACCTAACCTATATTAACCTATGCACTGTTTATTTTAGTACACCTTTCTATTTTTAGTACATCTAACACATGTTAAATTTATTTCTCTAATTAATATTTAGGCGGTCTGGCCGAAGAAGTCGATGAAAAAGTATTACATGCAGCATTTATACCTTTTGGTGAAATTGTTGATGTACAAATACCATTAGATTATGAGTCGGAAAAACATAGAGGATTTGCTTTCATTGAATTTGAAAGTGCTGAAGATGCAGCAGCAGCAATTGATAATATGGTACATATGTAAAACAACACATGTGCTGTGAGTTATTTAATGACATAGTTTCGTATCAAAAGATCGTTACAATAATTGCTGCAATATAATTTAATTTTTAGTTTACTATTATTATAAAATTTTTTGAAACATAATTGTTTTTATTGAAATACATTCTTAATTTAATATGAAAAATATTAGCTCACATTGTCATTCAAATTGGATTAAGAATTAATCCATTTATCTAATCACTGATCATTTAAAATCATTTGATCCTTACATTTGTCAAATTTTATCTTTGATAAATAGAATGATTCCGAGCTATTTGGGAGAACAATAAGAGTAAACATTGCAAAACCACAAAAGATAAAAGAAGGCTCATCGAAACCTGTTTGGGCTGATGATGCATGGCTGCAAGAACATGCAGGTGAAACACTCAAAAGTGATGAAAGTGCAAAACCAAGTGATCTGGTACAATCTAAGAAAGGAAAACAAAATCCTCAAGTTTATTTCGATGTTAGTATTGGAAAGCAAGAATTAGGTAGAATTATTATGATGCTGAGAGCTGACATTGTGCCAAAAACAGCTGAAAATTTTCGTGCTCTTTGTACCCATGAGAAGGGATATGGCTATCAAGGAAGCATTTTTCACAGAATTATTCCAGATTTTGTATCCTTTATTTACCTTTTATATGTAACCTGGAATTTCTATGTATTTGTTTATATTAAAAAAAGGAATCATAAATATTCCTTACATAAATTTAGATGTGTCAAGGAGGAGATTTCACAAACCATAATGGAACAGGAGGAAAATCAATTTATGGAAATAAATTTGATGATGAGAATTTTGAATTGAAGCATACAGGTCCTGGTACTTTGTCAATGGCAAACTCTGGACCAAATACAAATGGCTCACAATTCTTCATATGTACAGCACGCACAGATTGGTTAAATGGAAAGCATGTAGTATTTGGACATGTTCTTAGTGGTTTAGATGTTTTAAAAAAAATGGAAAAATGTGGAACAACATCAGGCACTCCTACACAAAAAGTTGTTATAACAGCTTGTGGAGAATTAACTTAAATAATGTTACAAACAGTTTTAAGCTTGAAGATATACAATTTTTTAATAAAACTACAATTTCTGAAAAATTAACATTATTTCCAAATTATACCAAAAATTTAACCTTAAGTAAAGTAATATTTCTTTGTGTACCATTTTAATAAATTGTAAACTTGTTTTAATGTATACATGTATGTAAATCAGAGTCTGTTTTCCTAAAAAAATTGCAATTAGTTTTTCAAGTATTATTTTAACCAACGTAATAGTTGTGAAATCGAGCAAGCGGCAACTTCGAGATGACAACCGAACTGCTAAAAAACTAGAAGGTTATGGTATAACAGAGGTCCTCTGCGCCTGCAACATGATAACCGAACCGACAGACTGGCCAGTATAGGTTGCCGCATACTGGGGGCACCCCCGCGCCTACGAGATGGCAACCGAACCGACAAACCGAGTAGCAAAGGTTGCCATACGAAAGGGGTATCTCTGCGCCTACGAGACAACACACGAACCGACAAGCAGGCTACTATTGGTTGCTGCATACCAGGGGCACCCCTGCGGCAACGATGTAGCAACCGGGCCTACAAACTAGTTAACACCGGTTGATATCTAACACGGGCATACTCGCGCCTACTTGATGTCAACACATTTGGCTGTGATATTAATGTTTCACGAATTATTTTTTCGATGAATCCAACGAGCCTTCGAATCGACCTGTCACGACATGTCACGCGGTTGTTGTTCGCCCTTGCCCCCACTCTTCTTCGATAGCGAGCCGCGACCCTCGACCGAGTCACAGGTATACGACGGGCGCGGTCTCATTCTTTGACGATCCTTCGGTCGGTACGGATCTTGTGATCGCGCGTCCGCGTCTCGCGTCCCTCCTATTTTTGCGTAGTGTAGTTCCCCTTAGTTGTCGTAGCCTGGTATTGTTTGTGGGTACTTTAGTTTGGTTTGGTTAGTTTTAAGGCATGCGTGTACGAGTGTCTGTCCTCTACCAAACAATTATTAATCATTTGTTCAATTCTTTTGTTTGTTCGTAAGTCCATACTGGGCTCGTAACATCGTGCTCCATTTCGATCACTATTGCTTCATGTGGTAAGTGTAGTGATCAACTGTGTAACTGGACAGAAAGGCCGGTTGCCGTCCTCCTGGTGGATCTGTATTCGAGAGGAAGACAATCGGCTCCTCCGGATTGGTTCTCTACTTCCTGCATCACGTTTAGCGTAGTCCAAGGCTCTCGGCGTAGCGCAGTAAGTCCAAAGCGCAGTAAGACGGATACAAGTCGCGTCCTGTAGTGGCTCCCAACGGGATGCAGGGTGTGGAGGACTGGTTCGGAGGCGTCGGTCGTCTTCCTCTCGAGTCCAGATCCAACAGGAGGAAACGGGACTGACTCAGTAAGTCCAGTTTCATGGTCGCGTCGTGTCGCGATCTCAATTTAGCTTCACACTCTTAGTTCGAATAATTGTTTGGCAGAATCAGACATAGACTTTGGAAATCAAAGGGAGTTTGTTTTCTTTGATTTCCATGGTTTCGTACTTAGTATTAAGCTCGTCGACTCTATGTAGAGTATGCATGTACGTATGTATACTCTATGTAGAGGGAGATCGAAGGAACTTTGATTCCTTCTATCTCCGGGTCTCCAGTCGCAGCAACCTCCACGTGGTGAGACCTGGTAATCGGTATTATTCGTGACGAACAATCCTTCGTCGCGAATAATATCGAGAACTAATGGCTGCGAACTTTCTTTGTATATTTAAACTACAGATCAAACTACGAAATACGTATTTTCTGAAATTTTGTTTTCTTGCATTACATAAAATTATTGCATTTGTAATGTACTTGCATTCTGTGCGAAATGGAATCATTAAAATAATCTAAGAACTGCAAAAATTGTATATCGTTTCTAATAAAACAAAGGTGTGTATTAGAAGTGTTGATATTCAATTCTTTAGTAATATATTCCTAGAATGTTTGCACATTTTGAACTGTCGAAAATTCGGGATCGATATGCATATTTCGACATTTTTTCAGATCAAGGTCGAGATCGTAGAAACTACATCTTGTCCTTCTAACACAATCTAACATCTCCTTTCCACTTCCTTACAGCTCCTAATACACACTAACAACTCCTACCACCCTCTAACAACTTCAAACACTCTCTATCGTCTCCAAACACCCCCTAACACCTCCCAAACCCCGATAATACCTCTTAACAACTCCTAAGGGCTTGCAACAGTTCCCTTCATTTCCCTTAATTTCCCAGCATATTGAACGGTAAGTATCGAGCTAGTTTTAAAACTTATTCCACCTCTTCTAATACCATGTCCTTCTAATAAAATGAGTAAAATTTAGCCAGAATTTCATACGTAACTTTAATTTCTCGTGCCACCTCTTCGCATATCATGTGCTCCTGATACAAAAATCCAAA